AGGTACGTTGAGATCGGGAGAGTGGCTCTCGTTAACTACGGCAAGGACTACGGCAAGTTGGTTTCATCGTCGATGTCGTCGACCAGAACAGAGTATGTGTTTTATTATTGGTTTCCATATCTAACCCAGTATAAATTCTCTGTGTTCATTGGATTTATTATGGTGAAATAGCATTTGGGTTTATGTGTAAAGAGAGAAAATGAATTTCAACGTGACATGGTGATTTAGGGTTTTTACGTTTCTTAGGGTATTTTAATTTTATTTGATTCGGTAAGAGGATGAATTGTTGAATTTGATGGAATTTTGTTTTTTTGGTTTTAAAGTGTTGGACTGAAATTGGATTTAATTGAGTTAATCCAGCCTGAAACATGTTTTTGAAGTCAAGTAAAATGAATTTGCACGATGTACATTATACAGTTTTTGGTGATTCTGTTTGATAGTTTTATTCTTTTAAACCAATGTGCTCTGACTTGGAGTGAGTTTGTATGGATTTGGTGGCTTTTATGATATTTGGCTGTCGTATATGTCATGATAATGCAGTATAGATCAACGGTGTTAACTTAGAGAATGACGGATGGAACAGAGTTTTCTAGTTTAAGTTTGATAGGTTGATATTCTGTGTGCGGAGGAAATAACGTATGTTGCTATTATCTTGGTGTGGCAGGCACTTGTTGATGCCCCAGATATGGTCAGAGGCCAAATGAACTTCAAGAGGCTTACATTGACCGATATCACGATAGACATCCCCCGTGTTCCGAAGAAAAAGACATTGATTGAAGCTATGGAGAAAGCTGGTAAGGACAATGATTTTTACCTTCATGTTGTTTCTCAAAAATAAAATTTTCTTTCTAATTTGTTTTTATTTGACTGCGGACAGATGTTAAGAACAAGTGGGAGAATAGCTCATGGGGCAGAAAACTGATTGTCCAGAAGAGAAGGGCATCTCTCAACGACTTTGATCGGTTCAAGCTTATGTTAGCCAAGATCAAGGTCAGTTCATCTTACTAATATGTTTACTGGATTTATGCGTGATTGTTCTTATCAAAATCCAAAAGGCTTCCTTGGAGCCTTGATCTGAGCTAACTGGCTGTAATGTATTTTGCAGAGGGCCGGAGTCGTTAGGCAAGAGCTCTCAAAGCTGAAAAAGGATACTTCATCTTGAATCGATACCGAATTGAATCATGGGATTTTGCTAGTTTTGTCATGAACATTTTGTAGTGAGTTTATTTGCTAGATATTGCTTATCAATGTGGTGCGTGCAATGTTCTTTGTCAAACTTCTGTTTTATACTGGATGCATGAGACGGTATCTATATGCTTGTCAAATGCTAAATGGTGAAATAGCTTTTGGTCCCTGAACTTTACAATTTTTCTTATTTCCTATATGGTTTCTTTCACGTAAGTTCTTCAGTTCAGGGACTAATGTGGAAGAAGAAATTGAGCCAAAATAGAAAAGTTATAAAGAGTTTAGAAGCTGTTTATTCCAATACTTCAATTGGACGCAGAACATATTTGTAATTGAAGTGAAAAAGGTTTAATACACAAATTGGTCCTTAAACTGGGAAACTTTGGTCCTTAAACTTTCAACTTTTATCAAATGAATGCAACATTAATAGCATGTAATGTTGAATTTGTATGGTTTATCTTCTAGAATTGGTTGCACAAACCACACCTACTTCTCTGGGACCTCATAACCACTGTTTATATCAGCAGTTGAACTGTTGAAGCGTTACTTTCTTTACTTTTTGGCTGTAAACCCAATTCTAGCATTACCCATAACTTACCAATTTTTTTTTAATATATCCGTGTTTGAAAGGAATTATTCGGAATTAATTTGAAAGTATAACCTAATTTATTCTATTTATAGAGATTGAAATTTAAATATTTAATTTAATTTTTTTTAAAAATCTAATATCTGTCTCATCACATAACAAGTTATTGTCATATTCTGTCTTAATGTATTTGTATTAATTAATATATGACATAGACAAATGTTGCGTTCCTTTTCATGCCGCTTTGTTCTTTGCTTACAGTTCATTGACTTGAATCAAGATACGTGAAGTTAAAAGTAGGACCAAAAATGACTAATTAATTCCAAATAAATTGCTTACCTAGCTCAATGCTCTATGAGCCATGTCGGTCCAATTCTCATATACCAATCCCGAAAATTCTTTCTATAGTTCATACAAATCCCTAAATTCAAATTTTAATTTAATTGAGTCATACAATAATTTGATCTTGAAAATTTTTAATTTGCCGGACTCGAATAAAACTAAATCTGATAATCTTAAACTGAATTAAGATGACCAATCAGTACAAACCCGTTTCCTTTTTAAACTTTCTCGGGAAAAATCAATAGAAAGAAAAATGGCAGTTAGAGGAGTAAATTTGCTGAGCAGATACAATCAAAACCAATAAATTTTCTCATTTAAAAACATTAATAACTTAAATTTCAAAACTTAAAAATATATTTTTCAAACAGATTCAGATTTTCTATTAACTTCAAACAGATCAGCCTTGTCAATAATTCGTATTTCTTTACCAACAATAAAATAAAAACAAACTTGTTTTTGACTTTTACTTGTATATAATCATCTTCGAAGACACTCTTCCCATCACAAAGTTGAAGAATTTTGAAGTATGGGACTAAAAGATATCCACTTTAAGCTCAAGGTAAGCAAAATCCATCGCCATTTTCATTTATTTTTTTGGTCAACTGTGACTTTCTCCATAAATTTAACGTATGAAAAACGAAATGAATCGTTTTGAAGACCGAAACCCAGATTTTCTTTTCCATGTTTGAGTTCGTATAAAGCTTAGTTCTCATTAAACAACTCTGGGGTTTTTTTTTTGATGTTTTTGGTTTTTTTTTGGTGATGGAGCAGGTGTTAAGATGAGACGATTTCGTGGAAACAAGAGAGAGAGAGGGTTAAAAAGAAGCCTTCATGGATGATTCCAGTCTCTCATGGCTATCATGTTGTTGAAAATAAATCACTGAGAGGCAGCTCTGATGAACGAGAACTTGATTCAGTCGTGGTTCAGAGAGAAATCGATGAGCTCGAGTTATGGTTCTTCGGAGTTTTGATCCGAGGATTGGCGATGGAGTTACCAAGTTTATTCAGTCTCATTTCTTTGATAAGAAGCCTAAACAGGTAAACTAATCATATATATATATAATCTGTTTTCATCCTTCAAAATTTTAAAACTTCGTCTCCTCTATGAATTTGTATGTGCAAGTGTAGAATGAGATTTTAATGTCCAAAACTTTTATTGCAGTCTCGAATCAATAGGAAGACGAAGGAGACGATGAAAAAAGCATATCTCGGAGCAAGAGCAAAGGCGATAGAGGCGCAGAAGGAAGATGAGACGGTTCGAGCAGGGTCGGCGTCTGTGATGGTTATCAATGGAGAAAAGCTTGTGATGGCCAACCTGGGTGGCTATAGAGCCGTTGTATGTAGAGATGGTGTGGCTCATCAGCTGAGCAGCAAGCATCATGGTGGAGCCAGAAGACTTTGGACTCGTAGGCTGTTTCCAGGTATCATAACCAGAGTTTATATCATTCGGATCTTCGATTTTTGAAATGTACCATAATCTGATGCTGTTTTGTGTGTCATATTTGTGCCTAAAGTTCGTATATTAGTATGCGATTCGAGCGATGCAGAAGCTATAAGGCCCCAAGCGCTCAGAACTTGCTGTTGGGGCCGAAAAGCTCGATGCCGACACCGAGTTCATCATCATAGCAAGCACCGGAATCTGGGAGGTATGTCGAAATAAAACCATTTGTTGTAGTGTTCAGGTGCCGACACCACCACGCCAGAGTCTAGGTAACGTTGGCTTGAGCTGCAACTCGTTCTGATTATTATGTGCACTGTGCTGTTCATTCCAGGTGATGAAAAATCAAGAAGCTGTGAATCTCATCAGGCATTTGGAAGATCCAAGAAGCAGCTGAGTGCCTGACAAAGGAGGCTTTAACGAGGATGAGCAAGAGCAAATCTGTGTCATCATTCGTTGATTAGTAGTATTGTGTTCTCAGAATCCGTTTACATGTATCAGTGAATCTGAATTTGCAAATGAAACCTTTTCTTCCCCTTTTTGTAATAAAATGGAATATTTTTTTTATTTTAGGAAAATTAATTTCGTATTTAGTTTAAGTATTGAACTATTAAATTATTAACAACGATAATGTCAGCTTGGTTTGTTGATATATTGCTGATATAAAGATTTTTTCTTTACTTAATTTAGTTGTCGCTGAAACTCGACATTCTCTAATGTCTTTTATGATCTTCTTGGATATTGATAAACTTGTCTTATTATCCTCTATCATTTTATCAATTTGAATTTTCTCGAAACTATCGAAAATAAACATAAAAACTTTATATTTTTTGGAGATTAAGGACTCCGATTTAAAGTGTTGGAGTCTTATCGAACCTTTAGACGAACGTTAATCAATTTTAAATATTTTTTATTAAAAAAATTAATCTGATAAGAAAAAAAGGAACACAAGATACAAATATTTTGTGTTGATCTTGCTGAAAATGACGATTATCGATAATAATTGACCAATAAAAACAGCCAAAGGAATTAACAATTTTTGCAAGGACCAAATTAATATAAAAACTAATGTGCACTATCTAAATCGATATGTTTAGAATTTAGTAACAAAATCAATATGCAAACTAAAATATAAAATAGAATTGCCACATCATCACACGTCACACCCTGTTTATATTGAATCCAATACCAAAGTTCAGTGGGATTAAATTGAAGCAGTTAAAAATTAAATGGTAAAAACGAGAAAGAACCAATAATTCAGTGGTATTTGGGGTAAGTTCACTCATTTTATAAAAGGTTGCGGCCTAATGGAAGAACCAAGATAAACCCCATGTGACTTTTTCAACCGTTGTTCACAAATAATACGAACAGAAACCGATGAAACCCCCAATCCTTGTGTTCTATGACGGTAAGATTTCTCATTTACAGTAAACAATGGCAGAATTCATGAATGCATAAGAAAAGTAAATATAAATTGGGAGGAAAAGTCGGTACGAAACCGATTCAGTTCAAGAACATTAACCAATGAGAGTGGCTGCAGAAAGACCTTTTTTTTTACAAACATGTCCATGGAAAAGAAATACAAAGTTCATGGCTTCAACTTCGTCGTCAAGCCATATGCTTCTTTTCACTGGTCTTGCTTCGGAATGGTGACAACATCGAAAACGAGCGAGAAGCTGCATGATTATATATGTAGTCATTTAGATTCTCCACCTTAATGATGTAAGAAACTGATATTTGTGAACATTGGGGAAGAAAAGGAATCAAAGCGCAATAAGCAGCAAATACTTACATTTTTGTGGAGTAGTATCGGCTGTGGGGGTCTCATCCTGAGAGATCAGATTCTTCAATAAATGAACTGATAAAAATCAGAAAACAAGTCAGCTTCGGAATCAAATACAATCGAAGTTCACAAGGGATGGAACACAAGGCAATTACCTTCACTGGATGAGGCAGCATTTGGAACCAACTCTTCAGCCTCACCGCTTGAGTCAATACTATGCTTGCTTCTAGCCGAGCTATGATTCTTTTTTCCGAACTTCAACAGCCGTCGGAACCCTTTCGATGAGTCCTTTACCTGAGGCCTATCCAACACCTCAGGAATCTTTTCTAGTCTCAAGTTATTAGTGTCAGCTACAAGAGCTCTAACATTCTCTGAGTTTGTTGTTGCAGCTGGCATGCTAGCTGGAGGCGCTCTAACATACTCGGAAATTTTTAAACAATATTATCTTGTAGTCACTTCAAATTATTAAAAAGAAAAATATATTATCACGGGTCACACCCCTTGCAAATTTTATTATTTATTACAAAAATCGTATAAGAAATTAAGAATGAAATAAATGAAATTAGAATGATTATCTCTATAATAAATTTTTATGATATTTGATTAAAATTAATTGATAATAAATCAAATTAAATTAGGTATGAATAGAAGTATTTATATATGATGACATGTATGGTGGAGCCCTATCTACATATGAATCGTATAAGAAATTAAGAATAAAACAAATTATATTAGAATGATTATTGTTATAATAAACTTTTATAATAAACAGTGGTTAAAGTGATAAGCAATTTGATATCGTTTAAGGTATGTCTCAAGTTTGAGTTTTTATGTATGCAGAAAATCATTGTTGGGAAATTCACCCATCAAAACTAAGTGCACGACGCGGATTAATTCGAATTAATCAAGACGAATACTTAAAATCGGAAGGTTAAAAAAATTAATCATAATAAATCGAATTAAATTAAGAATGAATAGAAGTATTTATGTACAATGACATGTGTGGTGGACCCCGTTCTACAGATGGATCGGACCCTTGTCTGTCACGGGCTCTAAATATTGTTTTTGTGTACTAGAAAATACATGGAGGTGTGTTTGTCACCGTTGGATCGGAATCACATGTAATCCTATTAGCTTATCATTGAGGTTAAATTGGGCAAAACCATGCCATAGCTCTTTTTTATCAAACAAATAATAATATAAAGTAATGTATATAAACATTATAATATATCAAACATAGAAGCTTTTGCCTAGAATTTACATATTAAGGCATGAAATGAAGCCTTGATTGGGTGTATAAACCAAGGCTTAGCTAACACTAGTTTGTTTTCCTAGGTTTAAGCCCACATATGCTTTACTCTTGCTTGGTTTTGTCGGTAAAATGGTATTTATTTTTTATGTGTTTGGTTAAGGTAAAATGAAAAAAAATCAATGTAAAATAAATTACCAGCTAACTAAAACACACACACACGTGTTAATCTCTGTGAGATAACTTACATTATTGTTTCCGACAAGTTATTTTTCTAGCCTATTCATTATTTCTCCATCTAATTTATACTGGTATAAATTCATTTGACAAGAAACTACCAACTCACACTAGTATAAATTAATTAATAATATTAGTACATTTGAGAACAAAAAAAATACATGACCCTATTAAATTGCAGCTTCTTCTATACAATAAAAAGTTTTCAACAGAGGCGGACCCATGAGCCTTCGTCAGGGGTTGCAAGAGTCCTAGGGGTGACACTTTTGAGGAGTGGTAAGGGTGACACTTGTGGAGGGGTTGCTTGGGATACCTCGGACACCATGGAGGTCCACCCCTAGATGAGGGGTTGCGTATCCCGGGATATCCTGGGCTCCATAGAGGTCCGCCCCTGGTTTTCAAAGGAGTGAAACAATGGGTGGTGAAGCAAAACACCAAATAATAAATAAATAAATATATGTCCAACTTAATAGAGTTAATTGTGTCATATCCTCGAACTATAACCTTCATTTTAAATTGGTGCTTAAACATTTTAATAATTTAATTTCATCTCTAAATTACGACTATCATTTTAAATTAGTCCTTAAACTTTTGAATATTCTAATTTCATCCCTAAACTATAGCACTCTTTCTAAATTAGTCCCCAAACTTTTGAATCTTCCAATTACATCCCCAAATTAATCCAAATATGTAATTAGTTTCAACCTTAGTTTAACCTAATTTTTTTCAAGCATAATAATATAACTTGACTTCATGATTTTATTAACAAGGGATGTGATTAGTATATATGTATACTTTGGGGTAAAATTGAAATGTTCAAAAATCTAGGACCAATTTAGAATAAGTTCATAGTTTAGGGATGAAATTGAAATATTCAAAAGTTTGAGCAATAATATATGTATACTTTGGGGTAAAATTGAAATGTTAAAAAAATCTAGGGACCAATTTAGAATAAGTTCATAGTTTAGGGATGAAATTGAAATATTCAAAAGTTTGAGGAATAATTTAGAATGATAGTCATGATTTAGGGATGAAATTTAAATATTTAAAAGTTTAATGATCGATTTAAAATGAGAGTCATGCTTTGAGGGCATGTGATGCAATTAAGCCATCATGATATAATGTATAAATGTTTAACATTTTAAAAATCTAATCTTTTACATTTTTTTAAATTGTACTATTGATGACAAATGTTTCACATTAATCTTTTACATAATATTTACATTATTCAGATCTTTTATCTATAAATTGATGAATATTGTTTACTTAATTCTTTTTTAATAAATATCTTTATAAACATGTAATGATAATATCAATTGAATTAAAATAAAATAAATATATATCATGAGTTCTTATTAAAGCTGATCCAATATAAAGTGACAGCCGACACATAATAGTCATTAAATAATTATCCAGCATGTAATTTGTCTCAGATTCAAGGCTCAAAGCTGTCTATCCATGGGATGTGATCTAACTTCAAACTAATCTAATCATACAGATAATTAATCAATCGGCAATTTAAAAATAAATAAAACCCTTTTCCCAACTTATTATATAGTTTATATAGGGTAAAAACGAGGCACGTGGGCACGTGCTCGCCTTCATTCTATTTAAAAGAGGCTTAATAATTTTAAAAAAGAGTTAATTGCATTACACATCCTTAAATTTAAACTTCTATTCTAAATTAGTTCTTAAATCTTTTAAAGCTCTAGTTTTATCTCTGCATCTAACTCTCATTCTAGATTAGTCCTTAAACTTGTATATATTTCAAATTCATCTCCAAACTATGACCCTTATTCTAGATTGGTCATACACTTTTGAATATATTTAATTTCATCTCAAATTATCAGTATATGATAATCACATCCCATGTTTATAAAAAGCTAGGTCAAGGAGGATATAATTGAAAGATCAAAACTTTAGGTATCAATTTAGAATGAGAGTCGTTATTTAAGATGAAATTAAAATGGTCAAAAGTTTAAAATCAATTCAGAAGGTCATAATTTAAATATAAAATTAAAGTATTCAAAAAATTTAAAAATCAATTAAGAAATTCATGATTAAAAGCAAATAATGCAATTAATATAACTTTAGATTCTTAAATAATTTATTTATTCCAATAATTTTTTATTTATTATTAATGAAATTTCACATGATTAACAATAATTTTATAGCAAGAATCAAATAATATTACATCATAAAAATACTGAGCTCGAAAATTATTTTGATCAAACTAGTTATAAATTCCCATTAGGATGCTTCACTAAGAACAATGGTCCGACATCAAAATCTCTGGCCTTGATCTGCAGCTTTCTCCTGGCTAGGTCTTGGGTTTCTTCATAATCATCACAGACAGTGAGCATGGTGAGCACAGTAATCACTCTCCTGGCCAGTATCTTTGCATGGTGCTTGTCAACAGCTTCACATAGCACATTTCTCGGATCACCTTCCACATCGACATCGCTCACCTTCACGGTATATAATTTTATAATTAAAAAACCCAAAATTAATTAAGATTTTATAAATATGATGGTTGAAAATGATCATAGTTACTGTTTTTTTTCTTGCATAATTCCTTCACTTCTCGGTAATCCTCGCGGCCGTCTTCTTTAAATCAACCTCCATCATCGGTAACCTCTGCAGTTGCTGTTATTATAAAGTTACGTTGAACGTCGGAGTGTCTGACCTGTAAATTTAAATGAGATTAAGTTAACGAGTTTTAATTTTTTATTTTAAATTAAATTTATTTTATAATTACATACCTACATACATACATGAATTGAATTTTTTAATTTTCTTTATGAGTTTTTTAACTTAATCATATCAACTTTTAATTATCTATTAGTTTCTTCGTTAAACATTAACATCATATGACTAATTAATTTAGAAAAGTGACAGATTATCGAAAACTAATAGATCATGATCAATTAGAACCTCACTTTAATTAAATAGTGGTACTCATCATGTACCTAAAAAAGTAATATTAGTGTTAATTTTGTCTCCAAAAAGAGGGGTGGTGGTCAAAATGGAAAAAGAATAATAAAAGTGACCACGTTGGGTATTTACCTCTTTTTCAACTTTCTACTATTCAAATCTTTTGCTTCAAACATACCCCAAATTTGTTCTCATTCTCTTGAAACGTAAATTAAAAGAAGCTCTTTAATCAGTTCATCTTCCATGATCCTCTTTCTCACCTTTGCACGCATCCAAGTTCGTCAAAAGGTTCAAACTTTGTTATTCGTTTAATGTTCAGCTAAAACCCACAGATCTTTCCTACAGAAAACATTGATTTGATCCAAATAACCACCCCAAAATAATGGGTTTTTGTTTCTCTTCAGACCCTTCTTCTTCCTTTTCATTTCATTCCTTGTTTTGTTTCCAAATCTCGAGCTTTCTCCAATGGTGGAATCTGGATCAGAGATAACAACTCTGGTCTACAAAGGTTGTGCAAAGCAAGCATTCACGGATCCAGCTGGGCTATATTCCCAGGCTCTATCGGCTTTGTTTCAGACATTGGTTTCACAGTCCATGAAACTTAAGTTTACAAGACAACAACAGGGACAGCTCAAACCACCATTAATGGCCTGTTCCAATGTAGAGGAGACCTAACCAGCAACGAATGCTACAGCTGTGTGAGTCAGCTCCCGAGTTTATCCAACAAACTTTGTGGCAGCAGAACCATTGGTTCAAGGATCCAACTTCATGGCTGCTACATGTTGTACGAGGTTGCTGGCTTTGCACAGATTTCAGGCATGCAAATGCTGTTCAAAACTTGTGGTGTTGCCGCCGCCGCTAACGGTGGTGGAAATGGATTTGAACAGAAAATGGACACTGCGTTTTCGTTTCTGGAAAATGGAGTTGTTACCAACCATGGATTCTTCACCATTAATTACCAATCTGTTTACGTTTTGGGCAATGCGAAGGTGTGTTAGTGATTCGG